GGTATTTGTAGTCCTTTAGTTAGACGAAAAGGGCATTTTTAATACCAAAAATAAATGGAAGGTATCAGGGGTGAACCTACATATAGTGTTGCGGGTGCTCGAGTATCTATTGACCTCGACGTGAAGTTTACATAGATATACATAAATATTAAGAAAACTGCTATATAATACTAGTGAGCACCCACAGCATATAAGCCTTTTGTGGTGCGTATTGGTTGATAGCTGGGTGCAAACATCTCTTGTTTTCGGTGGACGAGGGATCGATTCCGTTTTTCTTATTTTTCTTCATCTTAGTTCTCAGTGGCGATTAGTTTACCCAATTCTAGTTTCTCTTTTCTCTTCACCTTTTTTTTTTTTTTTTTTTTGTTATCAAAAAGAAAGAAGTAGCTTTTAAAAGATTTTAATAAATTATTATTCCTGAAGACTTGAACAGTTCTAAATTGTTAGATAGAAGAAGGAAACCAAGGAGTTGATTCTGGATAAAGTAAAAAGGTTACAATGTGGTACATGCAAACATAAAAAGATGTTCAAAGCATCTGATAATTTGTTAGTGACAACATGAATCAAAGCAACACTAAGCGGAACTGTTTTATGAAGGAAAATAAATTGTTTGTTATTTGATAACATGAGTATTTTCTGATTATTTGAGTTGTTACGGAAAAGATTGATAACACGTGTAATTTTATTATGATTTCAGTTGTTAGTGAAGAGATTGATAACACATGTAAATTTTGATTATTTGAGTTGTTAGTGAAGAGATTGATAACACGTGTATTTTCTAATTATTTGAATTGTTGGTGAAAAGATTGATAACACGTATGTATTTTAATTATTTCAGTTGTTAGTGAAGAGATTGATGACACTTGTATTTTCTGACTATTTGAATTGTTAGTGAAGAGATTGATAGCACGTGTATTTTCCTGATTATTTGAGTTGTTAGTGAAGGGATTGATGACACTTGATTTTCGGACTATTTGAATTGTTAGTGAAGAGATTAAAAACACGTGCAATAATTAGAAAATACACGTGTTATCAATCTCTTCACTAACAACTCAAATAATCAAAATGTAAATATGTTATCAATTTCTTCACTAACAACTCAAATAATAATAAAATTACACATGTTATCAATCTTTTCCCTAACAACTCAAATAATCAGAAAATATATGTATTATCAAACTCTTCACTAATACATCAAGTAATTTGAATTATTGGTGAAAAGATTGATAACACGTATATATTTTAATTGTTTGAGTTGTTAGTGAAGAGATTGATAACACTTGTTTTTTCTGACTATTTGAGTTGTTAGTGAAGAGATTGATAGCACGTGTATTTTTCTGATTATTTGAGTTCTTAGTGAAGAGATTAAAAACACGTATAATTTTTTATTACTTGATTTTTTTGTGAAGAGTTTGATAATACATATATTTTTTAATTATTTGAGTTGTTAGTGAAGAGATTAATAACACGTATATTTTATTATTATTTTTTGAATTGTTAAATAAAAAGTTGCACAATTTTTACATTGTATCACGACAAATGCACAAATAAATTCAACCCAACTATTAATGAATGACATATATAATTAATGATATATTTATATAGGATATATGAATATTTCAACCTTAGTACATGTTCTGGTCCTCACATTCGTGGAATATACTGGAAATAAAAATTTTAAAAATGTAGGATAAATAAGTTTTGAGTCTAATAATAGATTATCTTTTTTTAAAAGAATTTAATTTTCTTGTAATTGTCTAGATTAGGATTATTTTTTTCCATAATATCACGAAACATTATTCTTCAATACTAATAATTGAACTCATAGAATTTCAACGAATTCAATAAATAATAGTAGGCCACAGTATCATTTACTTCGTTTTGTTTTTAAAACAATGCACACAAGAGAGAAAGAAGAAATATTAATTGCAACAAATATTTTCAATACTGATAATTGAATAGACAGAATTTCAACGAACTCAATAAATAATAGTAGACCACAGTATCATTTACTTCGTTTTGTTTTAAAAACAATGCACACAAGAGAGAAAGAAGAAATATTAATCCCAACAAATATTTTCAATACTGATAATTTGAACAGGCAAAATATCAACGAACTCAATAAATGATATCAAATTACACTATCGTTAACTTTTTTCTGTTTTGTTTTAAAAATGATGCACACAAGAGAGAACGACCAACATCAATCCCAATAACTATTACGGAAAAGGGTCAAAAATACCCTTAAACTATCCGAAATAGATCATATTTACCCTTAAACTATATTTCAGCTCAAAACTACCCTTCCCGTCAAACTATTGGGTCAAAAGAGCCCTTCTTATTAACGAAAGTTGTTAAATGCCACATGGATGCCATGTGGATGCCACATTGCACGCCAATAGGATTCCACTGCCGTATAGACTAAACGAAAAAGGGTCAAAAATACCCTTAAACTATTTGAAATAGCTCATATATACCCTTAAACTATATTTCGGCTCAAAACTACCCTTCCCGTCAAACTATTGGGTCAAGAAGTACCCTTCTTATTAACGGAAGTTGTTAAATGCCATGTGGATGCCACATTGCATGCCAATAGGGTTCCACTGCCACATAGACTAAATCCCTAAATCCTAATTACTCTTTTTTTTCCCCCTCATTTCATTATTTTCCAGAAACGATTTCACCCTTTCTCCCTCATTTTGCAGCTAAGGTTTCACAGTTTTCTTTGTAGCTGGATTTCAAAGTGGATATTCGTGGTTTTAGGTTAATAATTTTTTTTCTTATTTTATTATGTTTACAATTTCAAAGCAAAATAGTTAGGATTTCACAACTTTCCCCTCATTTCGCGGCTAGGATTTCATAGCTTTCTTCGGGGTTGGGTTTCAAAGTAGATATTCGTGGTTGTAGGTTAGTAAATCTTTTTTCTTATTTTATTATGTTTACGATTTCAAAGCATGATAGTTAGGATTTCACAACTTTTCCCTCATTTCACGGCTAGAGTTTTATAGCTTTCTTTGGGGCATGGTTTCAAAGTGGATATTCGTGGTTGTAAACATAATAAAATAAGAAAAAGATGTACTAACCTACAACCACGAATATCCACTTTGAAATCCAGCGACTAAGAAAACTGTAAAACCCTAGCTGCGAAATGAGGGAGAAGGGGTGAAATCATTTCTCGAAAATAATGAAATGAGGGGGAAAAAAAGAGTAATTAAGATTTAGGGATTTAGTCTATGTGGCAATGGAACCCTATTGGCGTGCAATGTGGCATCCACATGACATTTAACAACTTCCGTTAATAAGAAGGGCACTTTTGACCCAATAGTTGACGGAAAGGGTAGTTTTGAGCCGAAATATTGTTTAAGGGTAAATTTGAGCTATTTCGGATAGTTTAAGGATATTTTTGATCATTTTCCTTTTAGTCTATGTGGCAGTGGAACCCTATTGGCGTGCAATGTGGCATCCATATGGCATTTAACAACTTCCATTAATAAGAAGGGCACTTTTGACCCAATAGTTTGACGGGAAGGGTAGTTTTGAGCCGAAATATAGTTTAAGGGTAAATATGAGCTATTTCGGATAGTTTAAGGGTATTTTTAACCTTTTTCCGTAACTATTAATTGTGGGAGGATGGAGATGTGTTCTCATTTTACGTTCACACTTAAAAATTTTCAATAAATATTATTATGTTAATTTTATTAACTCCCATTTACCACATGGATCAAAACAACATTTTTAGTTAATTAAGGATCAAAATGTTGGTCAAGCTACTAAAAATACTTATTTTAAAATTGAGGCGTAAAATCAAACTTTTACGAAAAACGTAAGTATTTTTGCATAATAACAAAAACATTTTTGAGAAGATAAAAATGGTAGCTTTTCCCAAAGAACACTGTTGGAATCTTGATCAAATACAAACTATTGCTCTCTAAAAGAATTTTTTTAAAACGAGCTTTTTCAAAAAAAATTATGTTTGAAAAATAAGTTGATTTTGTAAGTTTTGCTAATCAAAATTGTCATAGCACAAAATTCATAATTTTCCCTCATAAATCTGTAACCTTATTATGATTTTGTTTTGGAAAATGTACAAGTACCCCCAAACTATGAACGAAATTACAGAAACACACCTTAACTAAACTAAGGTCCTATTACCCCTGAACCCATTTTTTAAATAATTTTGTGCACCTTTTTGGCTTACGTGGCATCCAAATATCTCACACGCGCCTCAATTGCACAGATCATGGAGTGTGCCACGTAAGCCAAGATGATACTGGTATATCGTATAGAACACTAAATTTTTTGATTTTGTGACAAGACCTCCAATAATGAAGCTCCCTATTGGTGGAATTCAAGTAATCAAGAACATTCCTTTCCCACTTACTGCGTGTGCTGAAATAGCAATCATGTGGGAATTGGAAATCAAGTGATACTGAAACAGACATCCAAAGAAACTGCCATTGCTTAGATAATACGCTCGTTCTCACTAATTCTTTACCATTTTCAGTGACTCCACACATCATAGAGAAAATGTGAATTACAATTGAGTCCGGCAAATCGGTGAGTCGGTCTACTCTCTTCTTGCCTTTTTTGGCCATTGGAGACTGGAGGAGGAGAAATGAAGATTTGGATTATGGCTGATGATTGAAACCAGGGGTGTGCATTCAGTTTATGGATTTTCGGATTTTAAATACACTAATCAAAATAATTAAACCAATAAAAAATTAGTTTTGATTTTTTATTTAACCAATAAGAAAATGCTATTATAATAGCAAATCATATTATCATTTATTTTTTTCTGATTTGTTTCAGAAAACGATGCACACCAGAGAGAGAAGTAATATCAATCCCAACAACTATTAATTGTCTGACTTGGAGAATGGAGATGTGTTCTCATTTTAAGTTCACACCTAAAAGGATGAATCAGAGCCCACACATATAATAGCAAAACAACAATTATAGAACTTTTTTTCTAACAAATTTATACCACTAGACAGAATGTCTACCGTTACATTTTTTTTATTAATACAAAATCAACCTTGTCTGTAAAATATGCAAAACATATGAGCTTGCAAAAATAATAAAACCTAGTAGTATCAATTTAGAGCTTATAATATACTCTAGTTTTCACATTACAATCAAAGAGCTATTTCCCGGAAGAAATGACTCTACACCAAACTTCTTGGGCAGCCAACTGGAAGACAACTTGGCTCAATAGAACTACTTATGTGCTTCGAAAATTACATTGCTCAAGAAGTTATCTGTTACATCTGAATGGAAACGAAGCTCATATATCTCCTCCTCTTGTACTGTTGCTTACATGATGGTTAGAGAATGAGCACTTGGTTACTTGGACATGAAGAAAGCACTAATAACTCCTTCGATACTGACAAGTGCAGTCCAAGCCTTGTCGATCGGCTCAAACCAATTTCAAACATTAAGTAATAACTATTAAGTATGTTGCGATTAATAAAACAATAGGGGCCCAAGGTTATTATCTATAAGAAAAGATAACTGAAGCTTGCGGAGAGGATCTTGGAATGCTCAGGAGCTCCTGTGCCCTTTTGACATAATACAAATCACTCTTTTTGTATTTGGCAGCAATGATGAACTTTTCAAGAACTACTGCATGCTTGAGCAAGTATTTCACCAATGGCATCACAGATACAGAAAACTCAAGGATCTTGATAGTCTTCAGATGTAGAAATGAGCAGTTGAGATCATGTGTCTCAAACCTCCTAATCTGTTTATCCGTATTTGTGTACCTTAACAACAGGGCCTGTAGGAGAGAATACGTTATATTAACCTATTATTATCCTTAGATAGAAGCAGGAAGCCAAGGAATTGATTATCTATTCCTTAGCAAATGTTATGATGTGGTACATTCAAACAATAAAAAGATGTTCAAAGCATCTGCGCAAATATACCCTCACATGAAGGTGAGTACGATCACTAGTTAAACATCTTTTTCCAACAACTACAAAAAGTTTAATCATAGAGTCTATTTCAATAGTGACAACATGAATCAAAGCAACACAAGCTGAACATTTTATGAAAAAATTAAATTGGGAGAACAAAAATGTTCTTCTGAACGACTTACAAGACAAAGGAATCATAAGCACGCAGATGCAACAGATTTATTAACAAAGAGATATCATTAACTTTTGAGACTAGAAAAGCAGAATTTGAACAAAAAATATGACTGAAGCATTTGCACTTTCTATGGGCTTAAATGGTGTCTTGATCATCGTACTAGAAGCATTTGGGTGGATGCTAACTCCTTACTTATTGTGAATGTTGTCAAGCGAGTTGCAAAACCTTCTTGGCAATATGAACCTACTGTTGAAAAGATTAAAGAGTTGATTGATAAGTCGAGGTGACACACTAATATAGAGAAGCCAATGGTGTGGCTGATTCTTTAGTTGGATAAAGTCACCTATTGGACGCTAAGAAGGGACGACAAAAGGCAGCTTCCTTCCCAATTAGATCTTTTTGTGATCTCACATGTTACTTGAGAAAACTCTTCACTTTTTCTCCTATTTCAATCTCTTATGGAAACAATGCACAAGGGAGCAAGCACGTCTCCACAAATTAGAAGCTATTGTATAGTAACAAATGTAAAGGTCCACGTCCAAAGGGAACTTACTCTTGATTCTCCATACCCATCAACGACTAAAGTCTCAAGATCTGATGAACTCTGTAGAAAACTGCAAATTCCAGGGAAATCCAATTGCCTCAAGGTTGTGCTAAGTTGTAAGAATTTCCAGCTTGATGGTGGAGGCTGCCACCCTTCCAATTCCAGTATGGACAGGTACTTAATAGAGAAACCAGAATATGTCAAAACAAGGAAATGTTGCATACTTAAATTGTTAAACAATGTTCAAAGATTGGTTTGGAGATCCAAAAATGGACTTTTAAGCACTTTGAAAAACATTTCACATGACCAAAAGATTCTGATCAATTAAATGAATTTAACTTTTACAAACCATTTATTCTCAGTGTTCATCATCCAAAATTTTGTCCAAAAGGTCTTGTTTCAATCATCTGCCACTTAGCAACTAGACCAGTACAAGAGTGTACTTACAAAATTGGTTATCAGATTATCCTAAGCACTGTCACTATTAATGTTACTAAACAAATGAATTCAATTGCAAATATATTCTGAATTTTGGATAGTGAAGGGTATGAATAAACCTGGATGCACCAGGGACCTAATTCAAGCTTCTCAACATGGGCAACGCTGTGAAAAAGTTCCTTCGAACAGGTACACTCCATCCTCGGCAATGTGTCTTCCTCTTCAATATAACAATCAAATTCAAAATTAAGGACCGTATTGACAAGCGAAGCTACATTTCTCAAGTATATCTCACGGCACGACCCCAGAATTTTCAAATTTTGACTAATAATTAAAGCGATAAGTCACATTGGTCAGTTTCTGAGTTGTCTATGATCAATTTTCTCAACTTCACATTGCTGATTTCCAAACGATGAACATCAACAAAATGGTACAATTTCAAACACTCCAAGTTAGGGCAACCAGATAATACATTTTCCATGACACCATCCGTCAAATACATGTACCTTAATGAAAGAGAAACCATACCACTCCAGCTCACATTGGCTGAAGGGTTCAATGTTTCACCTAACTGTATATCCAACTTTCTCCAGGACATATTCTTAAATGCGAACTGAGGAAACTCATATGCACCTTCATATCTAAGTCTAAAATGTTCAACATTTGCTAGTTTACTTGCAAAATACACCCATAAATGGACATCTTTAACAAATCTCTCTGTGTAGCTAGAATCGCAATTGACACTAAAGTTTCTTCACCTATTAGGTGTTTTAGCCACATTGATTGCTTGGGTGGACAATCACGTAGGCAATTTTTTGGCACGTCACTTGCCAGGATTCAGTGGCAGTGAGTTAAAGGAAATGGTATTTGTGGTCCTTTAGTTAGACGGGAGGAACATTTTTTATATAAAAAATAAACGAAAAGTATATGTGCTCCAGTTTAGATAGTATATTTGATGTGTAATTTTGCTTAGCTCTATCTATTTTTATTTAATATATAGTAGTTTAAAGTCAAGTATTTTTATTTCAGTTTAAACTCATCCGGATAGAAATGGAAAAGACAAGCAAGGAAAATCGAAAATTACTCATTTATTTCTTTTAGTCATTAATATGTTATGTTTTCCTTTAAATGATGTTTAAGGACACATATTATGTGATATATTGTTAATTTGCTCTTTGATTGTTAGCAATTTTGGGGTTAATTAATTTAGAATTTCTTTTATACTCCCTTTGTTCCTAATTACTTGTCCACTTTTGAATTGACACATCTATTAAAAAAATAATTATTAACATAGTAAATTTACCATTTTACCCCTATTAATTATGAAGTGGATGAATTAAAAATTTAAGATTTTCAAAAAGTTCAACTTTTTTCAAAGTAATTAATTGAGTGTCTAATGGATAAAATAAATTTGTATTTTCTTGATTTGTTAAAATGGACAAGTAATTAGTGACAACTAAAAAAAAAGTGGACAACTAATTAGAGACAGAGAGAGTAATTAATTAATCTAAATTTGGCCGGTTAATCCGTTTTTGATAGATTTTAAATGATGTCTTACACCTTCCCTTTAGGATAAGTAAAACATGTTTAGATTGATTTAAAAGTTGGGCAAATCTACTTTTAAATTATTTTTAGCTTTTGGAAGTATTTGACAAGCTTAAAAATAAGTTTAAAATGACTAAAAAAAAAGGTTAAAAACTAAAAGAAGGACTCCCCTACTTTTTATTTTTTTACGAAAATCGTTTAAGGTTGATTTTTTTGTTTTTTGACTTAACAGTTGTTTTTTTAAGTCAATCCAAACGGGCTCTTAGAACCCTTACTTAGAATCGCATTAAGTTAAGCGGACTTTAGTTTAGAGTTAATCGAGCATTACCTTAGCAAATAGGTGTCCTAATTGACTTTTAAAATAAAGGTGGCGACTCTTAAAAATATTGAGGTGTTAAACCAAACTTTTAGAAAAAATAAAAATGTTTTTGCATAATAGCAAAACTTTTTTATAAAAAGGATAGCTTTTTCTCGAGGAACACTCATGAAATCTTGATCAAATACAAACTACACTCTCTAAACAATTTTTTTTTTAAAAGAACTTTCAAAAAACATTTTTTCAAAATAAGCAAATTTGACCAAACAAGCTATCAAAATTGTCATAGTGCAAAACTTACCTCTCATAAATCTGTAACCTAATCATTTTTATTTACCAGAATTAGCACATGTGAAGGAGGCTACAAAATGAACGTGATTATCAAAAACACTACAACAAAATATGAAAAATCGATTCAAAAAATTTGATCGTTATAGTAAAATCATGTTGTTATAGGAGGTATGATATAAAGGAATACAATAAACATATCGAAGTTAGAGAGGAATGAGTCCTTTTGGCTTGGAATAGAAAGGAAATGTGCTTCATCGCGTGTTTAAAAAAAAGTTAAAAGAAGAACGAGATGTTTCTCTACACGACGAGACCACTAAGCTCAACGAGTCTGTTAAAGTTGTCAAGCAAACGACTAAAGAAGCAAGGAAAGAAAACTACAACACGAGAGACATCTTAAAGCAGGTTGTCGAAAACAAATGTTGCAAAAACTATAACTGACTAAAAAAAAAAAGGATGAATCAGTGCCCCACACATATAATAGCAAAACTTAAATTTTCAGTATAAAAGTATGATCAAGATTCAGTAATATGAACTGAACTCACAAAACATTTAGAATGATAACTAGAGAATGAACACACGGACAAGTGCAATACAAGCCTCGTCTATCGGCTCAAATCAGTTTCAGAAATAAAGTAACGGATGGTTAAGTATGTTGCGATTAATATAAACAATAGGGGTCCAAGGTTATCAATAAGAAAAGGAAACTGAAACTTGCGGAGAGGATTTTGGAAAGGTCAGGAGCTCCTTTTCTATTTTGACATAATCTGGAAACACATCACTCCTTTTGCGTCTGGCAGCAATGATGAACTTTTCTAGCACTGTTGCATGCTTGAGCAAGTATTTCACCAATGGCATCACAGATCTAGAAAAGTTAAGGATCTTGATGGTCTTCAGATGTGGAAATGAGCAGTTAAAATCACGTGTCTCAAACCTCCTTGTCTGTTCATCCTTATTTGTGTACTTTAACAGCAGGTCCTGTAGAAAAAAAGTCCGCTATATTAACCTATTTTATTATCCTTAGATAGAAGCAGGAAAAAGGTGATGAATTTTTAAATTCAAGGAACATCTCAATACTTAGCAAAGGAATAATAAGCACACCGCAAAAACAGATTTAACAAAGAGAAATCACACACTTTTGAGACTAGAAAAACAAAATTTGAACAAAAGATATGACAGAAGTATTTGCACTTTCCTATGGACTTAAATGGTGTCTTGAACATCGTATTAGAAGAATTTGGGTGGAAGCTAACTCTTTACTTGTTGTGAATGTTGACAAGCAAGTTGCAAAACCTTCTTGGCAATATGAACCTATTATTGAAAAGCATAAAGAGTTAATTCATAAGTCGAGGTGACACTATTCTTTAGTTGGATACAGTTACCTATTGGACACAAAGAAGGGTTTACAAATGGCAGCTCCCTTCCCAATTATATCTTTTTGCAAAACTCCTCACTTTTTCAAGTTCTTATGGAAACAATGCACAAGGGAGCAAATAAGTCTCCACAAATTAGAAGCTATTGTATAGTTCATCAAGTACTTACAGATCTTCTCATCAGTCAAATCCCCCCTCCTTGTAACCTTTTAGCATTATCTATGAAGTACATCACGATTCACAAAGGTGACTTTTCATTAAGTTTTATGATCCCCACCCGCCCGCGTCGTCTTCTTTTTTATATTAATAACATGAAGTAACAAAAATAAAGTCCAAACGGAACTTACTCTTGATTGGAAATTGTACCCGTCAATGACCAAAGTCTCAAGATCCGATGAACTCTGTAGAAAACAGCATATTCCAGGGAAATCTAATTGCTTCAACTTCGTGCTAAGCTGTAAGAATTTCCAGGTTGATGGTGGAGGTTGCCACCCTTCCAGTTCCATTATGGACAGGTACTTATAAACCACATAGAGAAACCAGATTATGTCAAAACAAGGAAATGCTGCATACTTAATAGTGACATGCAAATTGTTAAACAATGTTCAAGGATGGTTTGGAGATACAAAAATGGACTGTTAAACACTTTGAAAAACCATTCACATGACAAAAAGATTATGATCAGCTATTTATTCTCAGTGTCCTGTCCATTGCAAACTATTTATTGTTTCAATCCCCTGCCACTTAGCAACCAGATCAGTAAAAGAATGTAATTATTGAGTACTCACCAAATTGGTCATTAGATTATCCTAAATACTGTCTCTATTAATGTTAATAAACTAATGAATAGGAATAAACCTTGATGCACCAGTGACCTAATTCAAGCTTCTCGACATGGGCAACACTGTGAAAAAGTTCGTTCACACAGGTAGACTCCGTCCTCTGCAATGGGTCTTGCTCTTCAAATTCAAAATCAAAATCAAAATTAAGGACGGCAGTGACAAGCGAAGCCACATTTCTCAAGTATATCCCACGGCACGTCCCCTGAATTTCCAAATTTTGAATATATGGGGCTATTATTTCAAGCCATACATCACATTCATCAGTTTCTAAGTTGTCCATAATCAATTTTCTCGACTTCACATTGCTGATTTCCAGACGATGAAATCCCCAAAAATGGTCCAATTTCAAGCACTCCAAGTTAGGGCAACCAGATAATATCTTTTCCATGGCACCATCTGTCAAATATGTGTATCCAATTGAAAGAGAAATGATACCACTCTAGTTCACATTAGCTAAGGGGTTCAATTCCATACATAACTCTATATCCAACTTTCTCCACGAGGTATTCTTATATGCGAACTGAGGAAACTTATATCCACCTTCACTTATAAGTTTAAAATGTTCAACATTTGCTACTTCACTTGCAAAATACACCCATAAATCGATGTCTTTAACAAATTTCTCTGGGTCGCGATTATTGAATACGACACTAAATTTTCTGATTTTGTGACAAGACCTCCAATAATGAAGCTCCCTATGGGTGGAATTCAAGTAATCGAGAACATCCCTTTCCCACTTAGCAGGTGTGGTGGAATAGCAATCATCGGGGAATCGGATTTCAAGTGATACTGGAACAGACTTCCAAAGAAACTGCCATCGCTTCGATAATAAGCTAGTTCTCACAACTTTTTTACTATCTTCAGCGTCTTCACACAACATAGAGAGAATGTGAATTAGAATTGAGTCCGGTAAATCACTGAGTCGGTCTTCTCTCTTCTTGCTTTTCTTCGCCATTGGAGAAATGAAGAACTAATTTGGAGGTTAGGGATTTGGGTTATGGCCAATTGAAAGAAATGAAAAACTTGTTAGGGCGGTTCAAATTTAAATTGAGGGCTGCCTACTTTGGCATCTAAGGGCATTTTGGTCATTTTTATCTACGTTTTAATTCGTTTATTTTATTTCTCCTAGTCTTTTGTATATTTGAAAAATTACGTAAAAGAAACTATAAATCATAACAATTAACAACTTATATATTTAATAGACATATATATTTGGTTGACTCTTGAAATTATATCGGTGTTGTCAAGCCCCAAAATAGGGAGGCTCGGTTGACACCCGATACCGTATTTGATCGAGTTAGCCATTGAAACATACTAGCTAACTAAACTGTGGGTCCAAAAGATCGGGCAGCACAACATCTGGAATATCATGTCCATAATAGCCTCTACGAGTGAAATAAGGATTGTCGAGACGATGCCCCGACTATACTCAAATTATACAACAAAATTAAACATATTTTCATAGCCTCATGATAAGATGGAGCTTACCAACTCACAGTTGAACCCCAAATCATAGCGGAGGATCGATGTTCATAAAAAAGCTTAAGGTGTTTCACTTAGTGTAATGACCCTCATGGTCATTTCTGTGTCTTGCCTTCTGTGTGTCGTTTAGAGCGTTCCTATAGCGACCCCAAGTCATTTATGACTTGCTGGGACTGACAATTCGGTCACTTGGTCATTCGTTTGGTCTTGGTGCGAGTTTTTGTGTTTTGGAGCTTATGAACCTTGAACGATCATTTTCGATCAAAAGTTCAAGAAGATGACATCGGAATCCAATTCTGACTATTCCATCAACTCCGGAAGGGTCATTTTAGGCTAGTAGCATGGTCGACATGACTCCCGAGGTTTTCAGTGTGAGTCGGTGCGATTAGGCGTTTTAGCCTTTGAAATTTGGCTTAAGTTTGACTTTGGTCAACATTCTGAGTAAACGCGCTCAGATGAGAATTATGTCAGCGCGGTTAGCTCCGAAATGTCGAGTTTGGTCTAGATTGACCCTTCTTTTGTGTCTGGAGGTTTTCAATATCTTTCCGAGCACTTTTGTTGGTTTTGACTTAAAATGACTTTTGGAAGTGGGACCTACTTTTTATCGAAATGACCTCTGATGGAAATTTCGACTGCGCCGTTCAGTCTGGAATATCAAATTTGGTATGGTTGCATATCTCGTTTGCGTGCACGGGGTTCCGAACGAGATCGGAACACCCCATCGGAATTTTAAGTTTTGGAAATGTTGCAGATTTTCTGCAATAAATTGCAGAAAATCTTTAACCTGACTGCAGAACCCTTTTACGAGCTGTGGTTTTTGGCATTATTGTTTTGATCATATCTCACTCATTTTAGCTCGGAATTGGGTGATTCGAAGTTCCATGTGTTGAAAATTATCGTGTCTTCGTCGTAGAGTGCTTAAGGAGTGCTGGGAACTTTTTGATTCTCGTTAATTTCAAGTTTAGGCTGCTGCAATGTTTTCTTTTAAGTTGATATAAGTGTGGTTTTCTTGCTTGTTGGGTGTTGATGCGTTTTGATCCCCAAATTGTGTTTCATTTTGGACCACAAGTTTGGAGTGCTGTTTAGGGTGTCTTGACGGAGTCAAATTCGGATAGTTCGGTGCGGGTCCCACATTTCCCATTTTGACTACAAAATTGATTTGTCTCCTCCACGATTCCCATTTTGACTCCAAAATTGATCTGTCTCCGTTTGTTGTGATATTGGTATCTAAACGACTGTAATAACGTTGTGATTCTATTTTTGATAGCGGGGCAGCGTTTTGAGGACGTTCGGAAAGGGAAAGCTCCGGAGAAGTGATTTTGGAGCGCGTGTGATCGGCCTACAGGTAGGCTACGGTTTTTCCTCTCTTAGATTGAGCTCGAGAATGTGAATGCATGTTGATTAGTTGGGATTTTGGTTGGGTAGTTATTGAATCCTGCATAGGTGTTAAGAAATCATGTTTTCGGCCTATTTCGAGAATTATCGGGTAACTGTGAGCATGCTTTATGTTATTAATGGACCATCCTTGCTATGTGGAGTACTTGCATGCTTAATTATTGTTTATTTGAAGCATGTTGGGCCTTAGTTTAGGTTTGACTAGGGCTTGCCTTAGAAATACATGATTCGAATCCAATAGGCCTTAGTTTTGCCCCAACGTCGCTCGGCCGGCTTAGATCCCTGTAGACTGGTGTAGCAGACTTGAGTCTGATAGTTTGGGCCTTAGTTAGGCGATACGCTTGCTCCGAATTTAGTTCTTATTTTCCTCTATGTTACGGCTTCACGAGTTACGTCGGCAACACTAATTCTACTTCGCGATTTGAATTTGATTTTCGATTTGGTTCCAAGGACTTACATTGATTGGCTAAGTATGGACGGCGTTCCACGGACATTTCTGAGTATGGATCGATTGGGACTCTTTCAACAGCTACATTGGCACCTTTATAGAGCATCCGGTTAGAGTTCCGGCCTCTTATACTTGTTACCTGTGATTGGTTACTTGGGTACTTCTGGTGAGCATCCGGTTTGAGGTCCGGCCTCCGTACTATCAGATTTTACTAATTAGGGTTGAGGTTCTAATCCGTGTTCTTCGTTCTTGGGTTCGTATATGCAATTCTCTTTAGTTATAGTTAGTGTGTGTACTCGTGGAGCTTATGGGGGTCCGTTCGAAATTGCAGATTTTCTGCAATAAATGCAGAAAAACAGCAACATATTTTCCAAAATTTCAAACCCTCATAACTCTTTCATCTCTCAACCGATTTGGGCGATCCAACAGGAAAAGTTGTGAGATTTTTTGAGGACAACGCGTTGGTGAGCTCGGATAGTGATTTGGGGTCTCCGTTTGAGGTAAATTTTGCAATTAACCTGACTGCAGAACCCTTTTTCGAGCTGTGGTTTTTGGCATTATTGTTTTGATCATATCTCACTCATTTTAGCTCGGAATTGGGTGATTCGAAGTTCCATGTGTTGAAAATTATCGTGTCTTCGTCGTAGAGTGCTTAAGGAGTGTTGGGAACTTTTTGATTCTCGTTAATTTCAAGTTTAGGCTGCTGCAATGTTTTCTTTTAAGTTGATATAAGTGTGGTTTTCTTGCTTGTTGGGTGTTGATGCGTTTTGATCCCCAAATTGTGTTTCATTTTGGACCACAAGTTTGGAGTGCTGTTTAGGGTGTCTTGACGGAGTCAAATTCGGACAGTTCGGTGCGTGTCCCACGATTCCGTTTTGACTCCAAAATTGATTTGTCTCCGTTTGTTGTGATTTTGGTGTCTAAACGACTGTAATAACGTTGCGATACTATTTTTGATAGCGGGGCAGCGTTTTGAGGACGTTCGGAAAGGGAAAGCTCCGGAGAAGTTATTTTGGAGCTCGTGTGATTGGCCTACAGGTAGGCTACGGTTTTCCCTCTCTTAGATTGAGCTCGAGAATGTGAATGCATGTTGATTAGTTGGGATTTGGGTTGGGTAGTTATTGAATCATGCATAGGTGATTAGAAATCATGTTTTCGGCCTATTTCGAGAATTATCGGGTAACTGTGAGCATGCTTTGTGTTATTAACGGACCCTCCTCGCTATGTGGAGTGCTTGCATGCTTAATTATTTTTTATTCGAAGAATGTTGGACCTTAGTTTAGGTTTGACTAGGGTTTGCCTCAGAAATACATTATTCGGTTCCAATAGGCCTTAGTTTTGCTTCGACGTCGCCCGTCCGGCTTAGATCCCTGTGGACTGGTGTAGCAGACTTGAGTCTGATAGTTTGGGCCTTAGTTAGGCGATACTCTTTCTCCGATTATAGTTATCCTTATTTTCCCCGATGTTACGGCTTCACGAGTTACATCAGCAACACTAGTTCTACTTCGCGATTTGAATTTGGTTCCAAGGACTTTCATTGATTGGCTATGTGTGGACGGCGTTTCACGGACATTTATGTGTATGGATCGATTGGGACTCTTTCAACAGCTACGTTGGCACCTTTATAGAGCATCCGGTTAGAGTTCCGGCCTCTATCCCCCAGATACTTATATAGAGCATCCGGTTAGAGTTCTGGCCTCTTATACTTGTTACTTGTGATTGGTTACTTGGGTACTTCTGGTGAGCATCCGGTTCGAAGTCCGGCCTCCGTACTGTCAGATTTTACTAATTAGGGTTGAGGTTCTGATTCGTGTTCTTCGTTCTTGGGTTCTTTTATGCAATTCTCTTTAGTTATAGTTATTATGTGTACTCGTCGGGCTTATGGGGGTCCGTTCGGGTTTTTATTTAACTTGCGCACGAGTGTACCTTCTGGGCTTATGGGGGTCCAGTTAGGTGTAGTTAGCTTATAGATTACTTTAGTTAGTTCTTTGTACACTCGTGTGCATTCCCTTGTTAGTTAGATTTTAGTTCTTGACTTCGGTTTGTGTTATTCCTTCTTTTCATATTGCCTTTACTTTTCAAGTTCAGTCGGCCTATGATGCCTACTGGGTACCTGTTGTTTTGGTACTCATGCTACGCTCTGCATCTATTTCGTGATGCAGGTCCGGGCACTAGTAGCCAGCGTTGATCGAGCTTGGAGCAGACTGATCCGGAGACGGGAGTGAGCACACTACGTTTTGTACTATTTCAGTCTCCATCTGTATATATAGACTTGTCTTTTACCTTTCGAGACAGTCCAGTCTCTGTTGTCCACTTTTGGGACTTGTACTCATTTTGTTAGTAGCTCTGTACTAGTGACTTCCAGGTTCTAGGAGGGATCTTTATTTGTATATATGTTTTTGGTTTGCTTCCGCCTGTTTATATTGTTATTTGTCTACTCTTGTTTAGTTTCTACCCTCAGACCCATTACTTGTTGTTCCGGGTTACGGGTTGGCTTACCTACTGGTGGGTTATAGTAGGTGTCATCATGACTTGAGAAATCGGGTCGTGACACTTAGTTTCTATACTTGATTACTTGATAATTTATAAAAGAAAGAAATTCAAAAATCAAGTGTTTTAATAGTTTAAACATACATGTTATATTTGAGAGTTTTGAAAATCGAT